CCTAGAGTTGATCGCAACTCATAGCAACCCTATAGTACAGAGTAGAACTGCCCCATAGGCTTTCCAAGGAAAGGCTGATGGATTGGAACTGCCAACCTTTTGGTTAGCATTCATAAACTTAACCACTGCACCACCAGGGCTCCTCACTCTAGTATAGTAACAATTAAAAGTGGGCTGTAGAGTCAGACTGCCTGGGTTAAAATACTGGCTCACACTAGCTCTGTAACGTCAAACAAATTTAATCTCTTCACCTGTAAAATGGGTACACTAATAGTACCTGGTGGCAAAGTGGTTAAGAGCTCAGCTGCTAACCAAAAGGTCAGCAGTTTGAATCCACCAGCTGCTCCTTGGAAACCCTATGGGGCAGTTCTACTCTGTCCTATAGGCTTGCTATGAGTCAGAATCGACTCAGCAGCAACGGGTTTGGTTTTTTTTTTTGAATAGTATCTACCTTTAAGATTATTTTGAGGATTAAACAAAATCAAATGCATAAAGCACTTAGAACAGCATCTGGCACAAAGTAAGTGCTCAATAAATGTCTTTTGATGGACTATTATGCAGCTATTGAAAGTAAGAATTATGAAATTGAAGTCACCACTTAGAAAAAAATCTAATGATAGGATGTTTTAACAAGCATAGAATTAAAGTAGAAAATCTATTACATATACATAAACGCTAGAGAGGAACATACAAAGAATAAAAATGAATTTGTCAAAATGATGGAATTTTGGATTTGTTTCTCCTCAATTTTCTATTTGCTATTAACTTGTCTTTAAAATACTAAAAAGTAGACAGCTGTAATCCAAAACAAAAATATATTTATTAATGAATTCAACCAGTAGTTGATCAGCCTTCTATGTTTTAGGCACTGTGCTGAGCTAAACAACTAAGACATTATAACAAACTTTGTAGTTTAGCAGTAGAGGTAAGCATAAAAGTTAACTTTCACTGGATTATGTTCAGTGTTATGTTTGAGGTTCATTCAGGGTGCAACAGGGTTACAAAGAGTGTTATCTAAATGGTTCTAGGATGGGGCAAAAAGTCAAGAAAAGCTTCACAAGTGAGGTAATGTTTGAACATGATCTTGAATGGTCTGTAGGAATAAATGAAAGAAGAGCAGGAAGAACTTTCTAAGGAAGGAATACAACTAAGACAGACAAAGTCGAGTTGAAGCAAAATGTTAAAGCAAAAAAGTGCTGATTGATTCATGAATCTTACTGAAACCAAATAAACTCTTTAAATTTAATTTTAGTTTTGACAGATTTCTTTTTTGTTTGACAGCTCTGATGTGCTTTGTGAGCTCTGATGGCCAGGCAGGTACCGACACAGAGGAAATCTGGAGACAATATTTTCCGGGTAACCCAAGCATCTCTTCTTGTCCCATTCCTCCCTCTTCTTCCAATAGATGCCTCTAGCAAATCCTGGCAGTGGAGAGTCTCTCCTGTGCCCCTCAGCATCTTGGGGGCCTCTGCGCTCTCCTGGCTCCATCAGGACCACTCCTCACTTCACTCTGGAAACTCTGACAGGGTTCCTGTAAAAGAGGAGGGGCCAAGAGATTGATGTGGAGCAGGCTTCACTTTTCTTTACTGTCCTGACATTTTCTTCTGCATAACATTCTTACCTTATACAAGACTCTGCAGGAGTTTCAGGTCTAATGAAATGTTATAGACAATTCAGAAAAATTACAGTCTAAAATAGTATATTTGAAACTATTCATAACCCAAGAAATTCCACCTTTAACAGGGGTTCCTCTCACTTGCACACCCTCGTCCTAACCTGGTTCCCTTCCTCTCAGGTCTCTTTTACCTCCAACATACAGAGAATTGATATTAACAACTACTATTTATTAAGTACTTTCTATGTACCAGGTCTACCACCCCTCTGTCAGTTTGCTGTACTGTGTTGGCTTGCATGTTGCTGTGATGTTGGAAGCTATGCCACTGGTATTTCAAATATCAGCAGGATCACCCATAGTGGATAAGTTTCAGTAGAGCTTCCAGACTAAGACAGACTAGGAAGAAAGGCCTGACAATCTACTTCCAAAAATTAGGTAATAAAAACCCCTGTGGATCATAATAGAGTATTGTCCATTACGAAGCTGGAGGATGAGCCTCCTAGGTTAGAAGGCACTACAGTAACTGCAACAATGGGCTCAAAACATACCAACAATCATGAAGGTGGTGTGGGATTGGACAATGTTTTTTTCTGTTGTACATGGGGTTGCTGCCATCAGTTGGAACCAACTCCATGGCAACTAAGAACACTTTACATTAGTATGGTACATTACTATGAACTAAACTTCAAATTTTATTCTGATTTCACTATATACTCCCTAATGTCCTTTTACTATTGCAGGAGCCCATCCAAGATACCACACTACATTTAGTTGTCCTGAATCCTTAGCCTCCATTGGACTAGTATTTCCTTGTTTTTGATGACCTTGACAGTTTTGAAGAGTAAACAGCCAGGTATTTTGTAGAATTTCCCTTAGGTTGGATTTGTCTGATCTTTTTCTCATGCTTACAGTTCGGTTATGGATATTAGGGAGGAAGACCACAGAGGTGAAATGCCCTTCTTGACACATTATATCAAGGGTACATGCGATCAACATGGGTTGTCACTGATGATGTTAACCTCGATCATCTGGCTAAGATAGTGTTTTCCAGGTTTCTACACTGTAAAGTCACTTCCCTCCCCGCCTGCCTTTCCACATTCTATGCTTTCGAAGCAAATCTAGGGAGTTAATCTCCATCTCCTTGATGGAAGAGTATCTACATAAATTATTTAGAATACTTCTATAAGGGAGATTTCTTATATTCCTCATTTATTTATCCAATCATTTATTCATATCAATATTCTTCCCTGATTTTAAAATTTCACGTTTTCCATACTCTAAACATTATCTAACTTTGTTCGGTGTATCTGTGTAATTTTCTTTCCACACTTTTTGAAAATTTTCATTCATTTTGCCCCTCCCTACCTCATTTCATGCCTTACTCCATATTTATGCAGATTAATTCAAGGAATGACTGACTTTTTAATAAACTTGATTGTTTCTATTCAACATTATGTAGTTTACTCTCTTTTTTTATTAACCTTCTCATAGAACTTTACAATTTCTACACGCTTACCTCCAGTCTCTAGCAATGGCTTCCCATCCCAACCTCAGATCACCAGTTTTGTTTGCTTTTTTCAGAGAAGGCAGGCTGTTGAATATTCTACAGTAATTTTGTATTTGACAGCCTTACTAAATTGTCATTTGCTTTTATTTCTCCTGCTGTTTACAGGGCAAAGAGATCAACTGAAAACTATTTTATCTCTCTTTTAGTAGTTAAAAAAGATTTATTGCTCAAAATTCCTGACCAATTTCAAATAATTTTGATGATAGAAGGTGTTCTTGTCACATTTCTGTCTCTGAGATTGACATTAGAATTTGACCATCACACATGGCGTCAAGCTTCTTTTTGAGATATAGTTGATTCTACATTTTAAGAAACAATTCTATTATTCTTTGTTACTAAACATTTTTTTTTGCATAAAATTATAGGTATCAAATATTCACACATGCCTCTCTACTTAATTTTGAAATGAATTTGTTTTCTAATTTTTGGCTTATTAATCTGTCACATCTAAAGATTTCATGATATTAAGCAATTCTAGCATGTTTGGAAGGAAATTCCTTTCTAGAAGGGCCTTTGAGAAATCATGCAGCCTTGCTGATAGGCAGATGTTCTGTAGGACTGCTCCTCATAGGTAGACTGGAAACTGCAAGATTACACACCTCCTTCTGTTGGTCCTAATCCAATCATCAATTAGGCATAGTCTTTAACTCATTAAAATACAAGTCCTAAAGTAGGATTTCCCATCTTCATATTATTTCAAGAACTACATGGTTGTCACAAGGCTGAAGTAACTGAAGCTTGCTCCTCCCATGGACTCCAGAAATGTCTTGACTAGAAAAGATGACAATGCTACTGCCAGGAGCCTAGTAGTCTGACTGCTCTACCTGTCTAAGTTAGGTGCTAAAGCAGGTCCACTGTGATAGGTATCTCCAAAGTTACTAGCTTATGGACTTTAGTCAACATCGTTTAACCTTAAGCAAACAGCTTCTGGGAATCTGTTATGAGAACCAAAAATTGTCTCCAAATTAATGTGACTTTCTACTAATTAGGAGTTTTGGTCAATCATTTTTATTGGCAGTCTACTGCTAGTGAATCTAACAGCTACTGTTCTTTATAATCTATGCACAGCTTTCTTTCTGAAATTGTGGGTGGCTCTTAAAAGAGCCTTTGCTTTCAGGGTATTTCCCGCCCTCTCCAGATGTTCAGGTGACACACTGAGCTTTACCACTTAGCGGTGTTACTTCCTCTGGACTTTGTGGTGATGGCTCTCAGTCTTCTTGGGCAGCAGCACCGCCTGGATGTTGGGCAGGACACCTCCCTGAGCCATGGTCACTCAGCCCAGAAGCTTATTGAGCTCCTAGTCGTTGCGGATGGCCAACTGCAGGTGGCACGGGATGATGCGCGTCTTTTTGTTGTCACAGGACGCATTGCCCGCCAGGTCCAGGATCTCGGCCGTCAGGTACTCCAGCACTGCTGCCAGGTACACTGGCGCGCCGCCCCCTATGCACTTACGTAGTCGCCCTTCTGGAGCAGACGATGGATTCGCCCCACAGAAAACTGCAAGCCTGTGCAGGAAGATCTAGATTTAGCTTTAGCATGAGCCTTGCCGCCCTGCTTGTGTCCCGACATAGTTAAAGATAGCGTTTTATAATGCTAAAACGCTACCGTTGGGCCCTCTACTGTAGTCTATTTATAGTCTGACAGTAGGTTATGTGTTGCTATCTGATTGGTTTTTGGCTTTCTAGCCAATCAGGAAGCCTTACTAGAATCACCTCATTTACATACACATCACTACTCATTATCCAATCTGACTTTGGATGCCCAAAACGTCATTTGAGCGCGGGCCTATAAATAACACTCTTCCTGTCGTTAAACGCCATTTTTTTCTTACGGACTAGAGTTGTGCGCCAGCCATGCCAGAGCTGACTTCAAAGGGTACTACCATTTCCAAGAAGGGCTTCAAGAAAGCTGTAAGTAAAACCCAAAAGAAAGAGGAGAAAAAGCACAAGAGATGCCGCAAGGAGAGCTTTTCCATTTACATCTACAAGGTGCTCAAGCAGGTCCACCTGGACACTGGTATGTCTTCCAAAGCCATGAGCATCATGAATTCTTTTGTTACTGACATCTTTGAGTGTATCTCAGGCGAGGCGTCTCAACTGACGCATTACAACAAGCGCTCGACCGTCACGTCCAGAGAGATGCAGCCGGCGGTGCTCCTGCTTCTGCCGGGAGAGCTGGCCAAGCACGCTGTGTCTGAGGGCACCAAGGTGGTCACCAAGTACACCAGCTCCAAGTGAATGTGCACAAAATCCAAAGGCTGTTTTCAGAGCCGCCTACATTTCCTTAAAAAGCTGTGGGCTCATTACTTCGTTAGCAATTCTTGTTTTTTAGAAGGTGTAGGTCCTCATAAGGAGCCCTGGTGGTGCAGTAGTTAAGCGTTTAGCTGCTAACCAAAAGGTGGACAGTTTGAATCTACCAGCCCCTCCTATAGGGTTGCCATGAGTCAGAATCAACTCGACGGCAATGTGTTTGACTTTTTTTTTTTTAGACCGTTATAATAGGCTGAATACCTCAGAAGACGTGCTTTTAGTTTCTAAAGCAAGTGAATGTAGCTGCCGGTTCAAGTGTGCTTACAGAAGTTTATTTTCATTCCGTCTACTTAATACGGTTGCAAGGAGAAAGTTATGTAATGTTAGTAACTCAAATTGACTATTCCTTCTGAACTTCACCTTAAGGACTCCTAAGAGACTGGCACTCTGCATCTGCAACATTTTTCCTGAGCATCGATAGCATCTCATTGGTGGATTATAGCAGAAATAATTTTCTAAGGAGAGCTCTCTTAATAGAGGCTTCAGCAGTCAGCATTCATGTGCAAGTGGTTTCTGGGGTTGAAGAGTGTCGTGAGAGATGTGACTGGCCATTCTCCAAAACATCTTTTAAATTTTCGATCTGTTCTGTCAGGGGACCAAAAGGTCTGCTATTGAAGAAAGACCTTTGGACCTTAGGGAAGTTGGCATGGGAGCACGGAGAATATTTTGCTTCCTGTTTACAATGGCTGTGGTACATGAAAAGGTTCTTCCTCTGGACCAACCTACCTGCCCTCAAACTGCTGGGGTTTGAGGCTCAAAACCCAGGTTTCTTGGCGTAATGATGTCCTCTGTACATTCAGTGAGGTCTCTCTAGGCTGAGTTATTTGTTGAGGGCATGTTGGCATATTGGATTGTGGTGATCTTGCCATCTCTCTAAGGTATTTCATATTTGAACCCAACATCTGGCTAACCACAATGGACTAGCAAACAGGAGTAACTTTAACCGATCTCCTCTCTTTTTGTGTTACTTTTCTTGCAAGTTATGGTGTAATCAATTTTTTGTTTGTTTTATAATAGGATTATTTAAAAATGTGGTTTGTGTCCTATATTACTGGGTGTTCCAATTTTGACTATAGGGTAGACATCAAATTAGGATGCCCAATATTCACACCAGGGGACTTTGAGTGCAGGATCCACTCTGTCATGATCACCTGGACCCTTCTCTGAAGACAAGCACAGACAAACAAAAAAACCAATGATATTAGACATTGTCAATGACATTAAAAAGAAGGGATCAAATTACTACAACTTCATAAATACCTGTCGTTAGCTGGAGTCTCCAATTTGATCATTAATTTATATATCGTTTTACTCTAATCTTTTTCTTTCTTTTTTATTAAGATTTAGAGAGTATACATATGCTTTCTTTGTATTAAAATAATGTATATAGAATTTGATAGAATATCTGAATATACAGTCAAAATCTGTTTAAAAAGTGCCCCATATTTCTGTGCACTGTGAGACAGACCCTGCAGAGCCCTGAATGCCTTAGCAAGGCTTGGATAGATGGGGCATTAGTGTCCATATTGTATTGGGGTAGGGGACATCATCTCTAATCAGGAGTCCTAGCTGCCCACATGAGATCCATGGGAAACAGCAGATATCTTCAAATCCCTGTCATCCTTATGACCACTCTCAACAGGCCCCCTGATTACCCAAGGACTGGGAATTATTTAGACAAAAGATAACCAGGAATGCATAGAAAGCATTTTTGTTCCAACAAAACTTGATGTAGCTTTTACACTAGATACAGTTTGACAGCAAGTAACTGAAAGTGCCAACTGAACTGGCTGATGCAACAAGTAATATCACTAAACAAAACGCCCAGCTGCGGGCTGATTAGAGCCCAGGCTCCACGGCCCTGCAGTCTCCTTGCCTCTGCTCTCCTCCACACCCTGGCTTTACTTTCATGCTGGTCACAGTTCCAAGTATCTGTGCAAGTTCAACAAAGTAGAGGCAGGAAGAAAGAGTCTAATTCTCTGGGTCTCTAATTGAGAGCAAGAGCAGCCTTCCCAGAGACTTCCCCTCATGTCCCATTTTCTAGAACTGAGCCTAGTCCCACGGACTGCCTGAGCCAATCACCTACAGCAGGCACAACCATGTGACTGATATAGACCAATCAGTTTCCTTCATGTAAATTTTGGCACACAAGCATTTGGCACATAAATATTGTTCTAGCTATTTTATTGTTATTATAAATGGAGGTATTTCTTAATTCATAAGTTTCTAATGTTTTATTTATTTTCATATGTGAATACTGATATCTGTGCATCATTTGCATATCCTACTGCTACTTCGTTGGAAGTTCCTGGGTGGTGCAAAGGGTTAAGCACTTGACTATTAACTGAAAGGTTGGCAGTTTGAACCCACCCAGAAGTTCTTCAGAAGAAAGGGCTAGTGATCGGCTTCTGAAAGGTCACAGCCTTGAAAAGCCTACGGAGCACTGTTCTACTCTAATTGAGAGCAAGGACAGGCTTCCCAGGGTAGCCATGAGTCAGAATTTCATTGAATTGTCTTATTTTCATAGTAGTTTTCTGGTAGATTTTGTTGGGTTTTATGTGTTTGCAATAATATTATCTTTTAAGATAATATAATTTTAATATTTTCATAGTAAAAATTTTACTGCTTCCTTTTAATTACTATAGTTACATTTTGAATTTCTTTTTCCTGTCTGATTTCTGTGGCTTGTATCTTTCACAAGGATGTTAACTAACAATGAAGAGAATGAATGTCCTTTCTTGTCTCCGACTTTACTGAAGATTCTTCTGAGCTATTCCTCCCTAAAACATATTTTACTGTAAAAGGGAAGAATTCTTGTCTACTTTATTTAGAGTTTTAAATCAAGAATGGATAATAAATTTTATCAAATGTCTTTCAGCAGTATCTCTGGAGATGATCATGGATTTTTCCTCTTTAGATATTTTATGATGAATTATTTTAACAAATTTCCTAATATTTAGTCATCCTTGCATTTCTAATATGAATAACATGTGGACATCATACGTTATTCATTTACTATTTCGTTGAATTCTGCTTGCCAACTCATCATTTAGAATTTTTGCTTCAATATTATAAATTAAATTGGTCTCTAATTTTACTTTTTTGTTTGCAATGATGTTCAGCTTTCAGTATCAATATTTATCAATTCTTAAAAAATTATATGGGGGATAGCTGTCTTATTCTGTATCTGGAAGTATTTGAATAACATTGGAATTCTCTCTTTTTTTAAAGCTTTGGCAAAATTCCCTGGAAACAATTTGTGCTTGGTGCCTTTTTGGGGTGACAGTTTTTTAATAGTTTTCTCTATTTTTCTTCTATGAAATTGTTGTCCTTAGATTTGCTAATAATTTGAAATACGTTTTTATAAACTGTATTTTTCAAAAAAAGTGTTAAAGATATTCCCTTAGGCATAAGTAAATCAGTCTATAATGATAATAATTTCATTATCTCCACTGTATTTTTAACAACTAGTTTATTATCTTTAATTTTATATTTGTGCTTTCTCATTTTTTTCACAAGCTACATTAGTTATTGGTTAATCTTTAATTCTTTTTTTAAATGCATTTATTTTCTATTAATGTTTGCATTTATTAGTTGTACTTTTTTTGTGTGTGTGTGTGTTCCTATTGTTATTTTCTACTCTTCTCATTATTAAATTTTTTACTTCCACTGGTTCGCTTCCATATTTTTTCCTGGCTTCTTGAGGGAGATGCTTACTTTATAGATTCAGTCCTTATGTTGCATGGCTTTGATAATTTTAAATTTTAGTTACTATGGTTTAGTTAATAACATCAGTTGTCAAAAAACACAGTTCAGATTTCTTTTACCATGTATATAAAACAAAACAAAACAAAAAAAATTCAAACCAGTTGTCCTTGAGTCAATTCCAACTCATAGCAACCCCATGTGTTTCAGAGTTGAACTGTCCCATAAGGTTTTCAAGGCTGTGACCTTCAGAAGCAGATCACCAGGCCTTTCTTCTGAGGCACCTCTGAATGGGTTAAAACTGCAAATCTTTTGGTTAGTAGTCAAGTGCTTAACCATTTAGGCTACCCAGGGACTCCACCATTAATGGTATTTTAAAACCAAAACCAAACTCATTGTTGTCGAGTTGATTCCAACTCATAAAGACCCTATACCACAGGGTAGAACTGCCCCATAGAGCAGCTGGTGGATTCAAACCGCTGACCATTTGGTTAGCAGCCAAGCTCTTAACTATTGTGCCAATGGTATATTAACAGTGAGTAATCGAAAAAAGTACAAACCTCACTGCTAGCTCTTCAATACACTGATCACTATACAAATAACAGATACACATCATGATCAGTGACCAATCACATCACTTCTTTCAAAGTTTGTTGTGACTGAGAACTGCATATCTGCTTTTCAGTTTATGCACAAATACCAAGGCATGTCATTTTGTTGCCTACTTGTCTCTCAGTGATAAACCTATGTGGCACTTTACAAAAATGGATAATCAAAAGAGGTATTTGGCCAACAAGATGAAAGTGCAACAAAGATATGAAAAGTGATAATCCTGGAAGTGAAATTCAAATTGAACATAAACAGAGTTATAGAAGAAATAGCTGATCATGAGAATGTTGACACCGCCACTGTTCTAGAGACTCTAAGATATGCATCTAGAGGAACTTAGTGAAGGTAAACTTACCGACATAATTGTAGAAAGTGGTTGTGCTGAAAAGAATGAAGATGTCCCAGAGGAGGTGACACCAACAAAAAACTTCACATTAAAAGAACTCTCAGAGATACTTCATGACATTAAAAGTGTAAAGGGTAAAATATTGGAAGCTTAGGGAGCCCTGGTGGCACAGTGGTTAAGCGTTTGGCTACAAACCAAAAAGTCAGCAGTTCAAATCCACCAGCCTTGGAAACCCTGTGGGGCAGTTCTACTATGTCCTGTAGGGTTA